GTGGCTTTAAAAGGCTGTAAGGTGACTACGGTCAATCAACGACTCATACAGGAGTTCACAAAAAAAAAAAAAAAACAGCATCTAAAGCTCTGCAGAGCTGTCCAGCTCAGGTAAAGTCAGAATTTCGGATTAAAGCATTAGAAGAATAGCTTTCCTTTAATGTTGTTCACTTCCTGAAATCCTGGAATCATGCAGATTAGGTAACAGGCTGATGATATATGCACCAGTTACGTTTAGGACTACTTTAATAATATATATATATATGTTTTTGTTTTTTTTTAAGTAGCTACTTTTAGGTGTAATATTATTGTATTGTACTTGTTACTTTTACCTGAGTAATACACTTGGAAAGTCATGGTACTCCTATTGGAGTAAAATGCCTGGGTAGCCTCTCCGCAGTGAGTTTATTAAGATATTCAGATATCAGCTAATTATACAGTAAACAGAAGTTGAAGTTTTTTAACCTGTAAACATGTTGATTTTTAAACGTAATGTTTCTTTGAAGTTTTGTAATCATGTCTTTTATTTTTATGTATTTTTGTCTTTAAAAAAATCAGAATTAGCACATAAAGTCCGTCTGGTTGCATCATTTCTATACATTAAATTAGTGTTGCAGTGATACCAGTATGGGGCGGCGCCCTGATCCAGCACTTAAATTATATTAACGGTATTGGCGAGTACCAACAAATAGGGTACGGATACCATTTTAAGAGCCAAAATTTTATTCATCTATTGTCACCCATTACAGGGAGGCAATAAAAAGTTCTACTGGATTCACTTTGTATTAGTCTTTTTTACTGCTTCACAAAGGTAGGCAGCAGCTTGACAAAGCCATGATGGCAATTATTTTACATCCAAGTAGTATGCAGTTCTTCATATATACACACACATCAATTCCAAACAGATGGTATCGGTAAGGTATCGGTATCGGCCAATACTGCACAGTCAGGTATCGGGGCCAAAGAATGGCATCTGCGCCACACTACATTAGATAAAAAACGATGATCCAACAATAATTTAGTACTTGAGTAGCCTTTAGAACAAATGCATTTTTTAACTCATACTTGAGTCATTTCTAGGATGACTGTTTTCTTTTTTTAATTGAGTCTATCCGAAGCACATCAGCAAGTTCCCCTTTAAATGACTCTAGAAATCTTAGGGGTAACTAATAAAATAATAATAATAATAACTGAACTTTATTGATCTCACACTAGAGAAATTTACCCCTGCATTTAACCCATCCCCTTAGAGAGCGGTGATGTGCCATGGTAGCAGTGTGGGGTTAAGGGTCTTGCTCAGGGACCCAGAGTGCAGGCTGTGTTGTTGCTAGATCTCAGTGCTGTTTCTTTGTTAACCTTCTGTAGCTAACAATACTTTCAGGGTGACAAAAACAAAACAAAAAGCTTGGTTAAATAGATTTTTCCTTATGTATCGTCGATGTTTTATTTATTTATTAGAACCTAGATTTTTTTTTTATTTTATGTCACTTCCACAAAACAAAAACATTTTTTAACACAAGCCAAGCTGAGTGAGCCACCATAAATGACGGTCCTTCTATAAAAATATAAAAAACATATTTAAGGCTAAAACGTTGAACTATGCTGCTGATGCTTTGTTTTTATTGATATTCTATGCAGATATTCAATGAAGACATCCCATAGACACATCTTATCTTTTTTTGCTTTCATAAGTAAAATACTTTCTTAAATGGTTTCCATAGCAGCACAGTGAAGGAGGCACAGGTTCAGACCATCATAATAAAAGAGCTCCTTTAGAATAAAGAGCAAATAACTAAACCAACATGTGACAGAATAAAAAACACTTGGTGTCCTTGGTCTGTAATTGTATTTAATATAGTATTTCAAATTTTAAGCTCAAGCATCACATTTATCATTCATCTCCATGTTATGTTGCTATTATACATCATTTTTAACAGACAAGATTTGTAATTCTGAATAATAAAATATTCCCCTTTTGACTAGTTGAACTGTTTCAATGGCTGTTCATTTTTATATAATTGTGAATTGCAGTCATAATGTTTATTGTATATCTATTTTCTTTAAGCAAAAGGGTTTAGTTTATTTTATCACCTGTTTTTTTAGTGAGGCAGATTTCTTCCAGGGACAACAGATGAAAATAGCCAATCAGCTAATTCTGGTGCATTTACAGCCATGTTTATTTATGTCCCTGTCCAATAAATCAATAAACTAGAGAAGGTGAAACTCCACCTCTTTCTTTCTAAAGTCTTTATCTGAATGAACGGTTTCAGTCATTGATGAATTTAGAACTGCTGCTCCTTCATGCTACATTCATATAATACTAGCACACAGTGAGAAAACACTATGACTGAATACAATCTTGAAATAGAATTTAAATAAATGTGTAAAGTAAGCTTAATCATTACTATATCTATAAACAAAAACAAAAATCACCTCTTGCGTTTGGAGGGCTCTGACTGACCTGTACAGCCTGCCCCCAGAGCTCAGACAGGCCTTTAAAATGTCCTCAGATCTGCTGAAGCAGCAGGGTGATGCAGCGCTCTGAGGATTGGGCAGAGAACAACCTATGACCCCCTTTCCCGACCCGCGTAGCTCTCATCCCCCACAGACATGCAGCACATCAGGATACGGTATTAAAACCAGAGGTTTTCAATGTGGGGGTCACAGTGAAGTCCAGACCAGGCTAAAAATAACTTTAAATTAACTTTAGTTTTCCCACAAACAAATCAGACATGGTGAGCTCTACAACAATGCTTTAGCTGGCAAATATATATTTAACTGATTACCTTAAAACTGGAAACCAGATGTGAGATTATTATTAACAGGAGAGGGGATCATGATTTATTAATAGCTGTAATTAAAGAGAGTTTTATTGATAAGTATTTTAGCGGTTCAGGACTCCAACAAGGCCGGCTTCCTTCGTTTATGGTCGCCATTGTGCTGGAGAACCTTTATTCTTTATACTATCCATTGGGGTGTGTGTGTGTATATATATATATATATATATATATATATATATATATATATATATATATATATGATATGACAAACAATACTCAGTAACTGAAAAGATTAAGAGTCATTTTAGAGATGGTTCGAAGCTCTGAAATTAATTGTAAAAAAAATAATTTTCTCTATAATTCTTTTTTATTTATTTTTTACCAGATGTATTTTCTCTAGACATTATATTTGTTTTTGTAATGTTTGATGAACATCTTCGGAGTTTGTGAGTTTAACAAGACCTGATAAATGGGAAGCCATTTTATTTAGTATGTTTTCCCTCCTCAGGTGAAAATTAGTCCTAAATCCATCTGCTCCCCTTGCATGGAGATTACAGTACTACATATGAACTAAAAAACTAGTAACTGTCCTCCAAAGGAGACCTTTAGTAATGTCAGATTGCAGCCATCTTTGGCCACATTTTAGCAGCATCTTGTTTAATTTCTACTTGAACACAATCGTGTGATCAGAGCTGCATTGAAGGACTTTATACTGTGGGTATATAGTCCTTCAATGCTGCTCTGATCACACGACTATGTGTTCAACTACTTTTTAAGGGACTTCTGGGGGTGAATTGTTGTTCTACATCTGCAAATGTTTAAGAAATATTTTTGTCTTTTTCATAAGTGCGAGAGACTGTGACGTGTTATCAAAGGTAAAACATGAAAGTGTTAGGATAAAAATATTTGTTCAAGTTCCATTAAACAGACGAGGTCTGATATTTCTGCATCTATATTTGAACCCTTATGGTGCCAATGAACTTTAAAAAAAAAAAAAAAAGGGGGGGCATGCTTGACTAACCTTTATGAAGCCCTTTGACTAGTGTGGAGGTCAGGGCAAAAGCAAACAGTGTTATTACCCAAAATTAGGATGGAATTCCCATCCCCCACCTAGACTGGGGACTGTCTAAACCAGTTTGAGCAAACACAGGGTGTGTTTTTTTCCCTGCCTCAAGCAGGTTTGGTCGGCGTTTTTTGTTTAGTCCACTCAGACACTGGGGCCAAATGATCATCTTAGACAAAACTCGAGTTGCTTCCAAGAAAAAGACAGAAGCCGGATTTTAGGTCAAAGAAATACAACTTTATTTAGGCGTAAACAAAATAGAAAAAAACAAAACAAACAAAAGAACTGCATAGGAAATGTTTAAAGTCCACAGAGTACAGAGAGGGCAGCAGGTGGCCATTATAATATAATCTCCTGTGCATTACTTAGACTAGGACCTGACTCTTGCACTTCCACCCTGCAGTGTGTGTGTGTGTGGGGGGGGGGGGGTAAGAAGGTGGCAGAGCAAAGCTTAGACTGATGGACACACACAGAGCGGTTTGGATCAGCAAGAATCAGCAGCGGCCGTCTAAATTCAGCTGGCCACGCCGGCCCGCCCTGCCTCTTGGACTGAGAGAGGATACATTCAGTGGATTTCTGCTTAGATAATCGCAGATGCGGCGCACAAACACTGAGCTCACCCCACACCCAACCAGGAGCTGGGAGAGTAGAATGAACAGGGGGGGGGTCTGATGTTGAAGCTCGTTTAGAAACAAACACGGCTATTTGTTTCGCAACACCAGACGGCCCTCCCGCCAGCGTCCCCCGTCCTGACACTCTCTCCAGAGGATGGCAGCGGAGCGTGAGCATCAACAAGAACCCGTTTATCCCCTTTTCTTCACAAAATACATTCTAAAAGGGCCAACGAGTCGAGTGGTGTGAAGTATTTGTACTTTTAAGAGAGAAAAATTAAAAGGTAACAAGACAAAAAAAAAGATGATCAAACTAATAGTTTTGAGCAGATTGAGAAATAATTTCTTTCATAATGTTTAAAAAGAAAACCCAGAAAAACAAAAAATTATCAGACTAGTACTGAGAATTCATAAGAGGGAGGGAGATACTACATCATCACTACGAGACACTTAATTTGAATGAGACCTGCAGCACAAGGCTGCTGGGAACAACCTGAGTTTATTTTAATTTTTTTTCCTGTCTAATCTTTCCTAAAACTTCCCATTCTTTTTTTTTTAGATTATACAATCATTTAAATGCAAAAAGGGAGAGCTGTGACCTCGCACGTCTCGTCTGATGAAGCTTCACGATTCTTCTTACCCTGAAGATGTTTGAACAGGCCTGAGAAATCACAGAATTTGTAGGACTTCCTGTTAAAAACCCAAGTAAATGTAATTGCACTCCAGCTTCAGCAGGGGGAGCATTCAACAGACACCTAAAGATGTGTGATTTGTTGATTTGATTAAAAAAAATGCTTCTTCTAATTATCAGGGAGGGAAACTAAAGGACTAATCTCTGAAGCCTCTCAGGGGTGAAACATCGACCGCAGAGCCTCCAACCAACAGGAAATACAATCGCCAAGGTCAAAATTAATTTCAACCAACAAACTTCTAACACACATATACACATCTTTGGGTATACATTTTTTTTTGGGGGGGGAGGGGAAAAACCCAAAACAAACAAAAAAAAAAAACATCCCAACAATCAGCTACCCACCCTATCTCAGCCTTTCAACACCTATCTGGGAGACATCAGTATATAATACAAGAACTTTTAAAGCATGCAACAAAACGAAATACAAATAAAATACATTTTTCCTCTTTAAGAGTGAAGACCTAAGGATCTTAAAGATAGAATTCTGCAATCTTAATAAGAAAAAAAAGTACAAGGAAAAAAAAAAAACCTGAAGCAACATTGAGTCAACATGTCAGAGTAATACTGAAAAGCAGAAAAAGCGAACTTATCGGTTGTTAGCAGGCGTTGCGTTCAAAGCAGCAGGGTTTTGCAGACTCCAGCTGGCTGCAGGATTTAAAGGGAAGTTCTGCTTTAGCGTCAGCATCGCGGGGAGTAACATACAAATTTCAACACGTTGGAGAACACAATGACAAGGCATGGGCTTGAAGGACAAACCTAGCCACGCATCTTTCGCTATTAATCTAGATGCCAGAGAAAGTGCCGATGTTTCCCCCACCTGTTGCTGCGCACTGCTGGCGGCGTCCATTCCTCAGAAACAGGAAATTATGCTTTAGAAAATCACTGAACTCCGACAAGCTAGCAGCGCAGCTGTGGTGATTTTAGATACAATAGCAGCCCATGCCTTGTAGTTATAAACGCTAAAGAGACGAAATCCACAGTATAAAGTTCACATTAACCTCGGTCGGTTTTAAAAAGGAAATTTCCCTTTAAATAACGAGCCAGCTTGATGTCAGACTTTAGGCGTAATCCCAGGCAATGACCATCAGATTACGGACTCATTCCAACTACCATCGAGCATCTTAAAGTCCACATAGGTTTGGTAGGTTTGTGCGGAAATCTGAGGTGAGTATGTGCATTCAATGGCGGACATTTTGAGCTGTTGCATTTAGAGAAAACCAGCTTTCCTCGAACCCCTCATCCCCCCCTCGCGCACAGCAACATATTTCACTTGTGTGTTCCAGATCATCGTGAGGTACAGAGAAACGGGGCCCAGCCCTACTAAGTGCATCCAAACCAGAGGAAGAGGGTTAATCCTGCGTATTATGGTCCAGTGATACTTGTGTCTACGACATCGTGGTCCAAATGCCAATACTGCTTTGGCACAGAACTCTCACAGATCGATTTGGCACAATACTCGCATTGGAACGATTTGTTTTGCTGCTGATTAAAAAGAGGAAAAAAAAGGCAATAATTTAAACCAGGCAGATTACAGTAGATTAAGCAGACACTAAAGCTACAGATTCTGTTTCGACTCAAAACAGTACAACCATCTTTGGTCCTTGTGCCGAGTTGTCTGACAAGGAAAATCCTTCAAGAATTGTCAAACTGAGGTATTCAGTAGATATTGAGGTATTCAAACGGTTTAACGCACCGTCACCATGAGGGAGGAATAAACCTTGAGGTATTCAGAGGTTGAGGTATACAAGAAAGGAAAACACTGAGGTAAAAGTTCTTGGTGGTACACGGACCTAAAATCTCAAACTTGTGTGGCCCATTGTCGTCTAAGACGTTTTTTTGTAGTTTGGTCTTAATTCCAGGCTTGCGGAACCTTAAACTGTTGAGTGCTTTTGATCGACTGGTTGCACCTCAAAGAGGAGATGAAGGTAAGTGGGAGGAAAGGAGGCTAATCTGAGATGATACTCTGAGTATAGTAGTGATAAAAACTATGGCATTGCTGAAGAAGCTTCGGCAATAAATGCAAGGGTTTCTCTTTGGTGAGGGTATTCTCCGTTTTCTAACATGAGCACCTCTGCGAGAAAGAGACTTTCTAGGGAGGAAGTCCTCCACAACCTGGGACCTAGGCACTCCGTTCCAGAGTTTAATGCAGACAGTGCGATGAACTAAACTCCATGAGTTGTAAGAACGTTAGGCTTTTCTAACAAGAATAATTAAAGAAAAGTGTTAAGGGGGATTCTCAGATCCCTTTTAAATGGAAATTCATAGTTGGCCATTGTGCAGAAATTCTAACTTTGGTTGATTCTAGTAGTTGGTCTGTAGACCTCCATCTTTAGAGGAATCTGTCTACCAACGCTCAAGTCTGAAGGCGTTCTTTTTATTTCATTTAATCGAAGGAGAAATAAATAGGGTAGGGCTCTATGAAGATGCCCTCTCGTTGGATAGGACTAAATCTCTGGCCCTAGGAGCCAAGGGGCGGGGGGGTGGCTTTAAACCACAATCTAAATCCAAGAGATTGTTATATTATATTAGGTATATTAGGCCTGTAATCTGATGTCGTTAGTGTCCTCTGGACGGCCCGATCGGCTTTTGTCAAACAGCATGCCTCATTTAAGAAAGTAGCATTCATTTCTATAATTACATTTCTAGGATGACGCCAAGGAACGCGTCCAGATCTCTAAGGATTCAACTCAAAATCTTTGTGGATCTTCTCGTCTCAGAGAAGACGACGCTTCAGTTGCATAATTGTTTTTTTCTTACTATCTGACTAGTGGAAACATTGTCCCAGTTCGATGATATACGTCTAGGGATAATGGTCAAAAGTTATCTCATTTAAGGGATTTTTTTTTTAGAGCTGATTTTCTACATTTTCTACTTCTACTTATTAATAAATCCATTAAATCAGCATTAGTCAGCAAAGATAGGAGAGCCTGAAGAAAAGAACCGATCACTTGGACCAGTTTTATGATGACCTGAGCTCATTTTGATTTCGTCCAGTTTGGCGTTTCTTCTCACAGTCTCGCTCGGCGAACACAGAGCTAAATGGTGGAAGGGGTCAATCTACGGATCTAAGTGGGGAGAAGAAAGAAAACAAAAACATAACAACAAAAAACACCTAACTAATTTGAAAACAGGAAAGGACAAGATCAAACCCTTTTCTTTTCGTCTCTTCCACTAGCCTTCTAATGCGAACCAAGCATGCAGTCTCTTACAGCGGTCTGAGTATTGTCTCAGCAACAACATTCAGGAGGTTCATGTTCACTAAAAATGCACAGAAAGTATTCCATGAATCCTGTGCAAATATCAACCCAAGAATCTACTTATATGTCTCTTAAATAAAGTATAGAGGTAGACGTTTCTTCTTTGTAAAACTTTGCGGACTAAAACCTCTGCTCAGAGACTATGAGTACATTCATAAAGAGCTAGATGAGGTAGGTATGGAGCAGAAGGTATGAGATTCCAACAAATGAAAGAATTCCCTGAGACGGATCTTAAAGAAGGGCAAACAGAGAGGACGGAGAGCAGCTGTCAGTCCATTAGGAAAGGTCCCCATCGTATAAACTACACCTGTTTATTGGTAAGTAGTAGTGAAAATGAAAAAAAGACTTTTTTTAAAGCATGTCCTCAGTCCTCTCTGCGCTTCCCGACTTTCTGTTGATTGATTCTCTCCTCTCTATTTCCTTCATTGTGAAAATTTACTGCAAAAAGAGCAAACAGAGGGAGAGAATGCAAAAAAAAAAAATAGATTTCTTTCTTTTTAGAATTTGAGAATGCGGTTATTTCCAAAGTCTACAACCACAATGACTCCGTCGGGCATCACCGCCACCCCGGATGGGCGGTCCATCTGTCCGTAGCCGCTCCCCTGAGTGCCGAATTTGCATAAGAAGTTTCCGTTGGGCTCGAACACTTGGATTCTGTGGTTGCGGGAGTCGGCCACGATGATGCGGTTCTCTTGGTCCACGGCGACGCCCTGGGGACGCAGGAACTGGCCGTTCCCCGTGCCCTCTGAGCCCAGGAAGCGCGCAGACTGGCAGTCCGGCCGGATGACCAGGAGGCGGTGGTTGTTAAAGTCGGTCACGACGAGGTGGTCTTCGTGGTTGAAGGCTACTCCTCTGGGAGAATCAAAGTGTTTCCACAGGGCCCCCTCGAAGCCGTACTTGTTGAGGAAGGAGCCGTCGGGGGCGAAGAGCTGCACGCGGTGGTTCCTGGTGTCCGACACCAAGATTTTACCCTCGGAGTTGACAGCCACATCCCAGGGATAATTGAACTGCCCGTTCTTGGTGCCTTTTTCTCCAAACTTCAGCAGGAACTGGCCCTCAAACGTAAACACCTGGCAGGCAAAGAAAATCCATAGCAATAAATTCAGACTTTCATTTTCTTCATTGGGATAAATTGGACCAATACAAAGCAGCTCATACGTGGCATTTTGATTCAGTGCCTTTACTCTGATACCCCTAAATAAAACCAAGAAGAACCATTTGCCTTCACCTAAATGGTAAATAGGATTCATCTTTATGAAGTTTAATCTCAGGGGGAGGCAGAGAAAGCAAATCTGGTTGATGAGAAGACATATGAGATAATACAGGACAAAGATGGATGAAAATCTGCAACAGAACGATGACCTGAAAAGTTAGAGCTACAATAGACCAGCTCACCAATGCAGATCTGTGCGCTGAAAAAAACCCAAAACCAAAATTCTTGTAGGGACTGACTAAAGCCAGTGGATGTTGTAATCTTTGACATTATTAAGTGTGATGTCATTACTTCTACCTTTAACCTGTAGGTCATTTTAATGGGTTAAAGTTCTGCTAACCTTTGTGCTTTGATGTGAAACATAGGAAAATAAGAGGCTCTAGTGCTCTTTTAATGTTTAATCTAGGGCTGCAACTAACGATTATTTTAAAAATCGATGAATCGGCCGATTATTTTTTCGATTAATCGATGAATCGGACAAAAAAAAAAATTTTATATTAACCTCTTTATTCCAAAATAAACATTTTAGACAGAACAAACAAGCACACAAGTACAGGTTGCTCATTAACTGTACTGGTGCAATATGAAAAATAAATGTTTGTGTAAAAACTACGCAAACTTACATGAGAAATGTAGCTGTACATCCACAAAATATAGGCTACTTTGGTTCATAAAGCGCAAAAAGAGACATTTTTGTTTTTTAAAGCCCCTAAGGGGTTCAACAATAGGTTGACTAGAAGAGGGCTGCCTTTTAAGACAGGAAAGTATAGCAGTTAAAGTTGCTGCTTGAGAAAATACTGAACCATAGAGATAAAAATAGCCCTGTGATTCAAATTATAAATTGTATTTGGAATAAAAATGAGAGAACTAGGGGTGGTAAAAAAACACATCCTCCAAAGACAGATATTTACATGGGAATGTGGCAGATAATTAATTGACATATTACTGATCTTGCTGGATTTTGTTCTGCTTTACTTCCATAAATTGCAGGATCTTCTTTTCTTTATCTTTGCCAGAAGATTTAAACTTTAAAAGCCTTGCCCTCATAATTTGCAAGTTAATTTATTTATAAAGAAAATATAAACGCTGCTTAAACAAATGTAAATGAAATTAAAAGTAAAATAAGTAGCCAACCTTATCACTGTCTGTAACCTACTAACAAGGTAAGGAAAGCATCAGATGAGCTACCTGAGAAACTAACGTTACGTTTCCCCACTTTAAAACCAAACAAACATGGTTACTCATCCTGCTGATCAGCTCTCTTCACTGCCATCGAAGGCTCCAAAGTGTTTTCTTTTCAGGTGCTGCGTCATAACAGTGGTGCTTCCGTGCCATGTTAATTTCTTTTGAAAAAAGTTGCATGTTATCACTTTTTTCACTTTACAAAGCGCAGGCTATTTTAATTATTGTGATCAATTTGCGCCGTCAATCCCGGCGCATGCGCGCTTCATTTGCAGTCTGGACGCTGAGGGTAAACTCCTCACTAAAATCCTGCGGCTCTGACTGCCGCGCTGAGAGGGATTCCTGTGGGAGAGGGAGAAAGGCGTTGGGATGGGGGAGGCGCCCCACGGCAGGCAAAAGCCGCCAGTGACACCGTAAAAAGTCGCCAGATTTGTCGCTAGTCGCTTTTTTGAAAAATAGTCGCTGGAGGGGTCTGAAAAGTCGCTGAGTTGGCAACACTGCAACTGCGGCGCTGACTCGCTCCGCCATATTTTTTTTTCTTCCCCCGGATGACGGCGGCGGCGGATGACGCATTAATCGCGCGACACAACTAATCGATGATTAAATTCGTTGCCAACGCTTTTAAAAGTCGATTTTTATCGATTTTATCGATTCGTTGTTGCAGCCCTAGTTTAATCCTAACTATAAAAGCAGCTGCTAAAGAGCTGTTGCCAAACAAAATTATGCTTCTTTACGACATTAAGGTTTTTAATTTATTTCTGTTAGACGGCGGTCTTGTGGTTAGAAAACTGAGCTTTAGCCTCTTGTGCCTGCAAAGATCAGCTGTAGGGAACTGTGGCTTATATCAGTCTTTTTTATGCAAATTTATTATAGTATTGCATTAGTAGACCTTGATGAAAGGTTTTCTTTTCACCCCACTAAAAAAAGATATTTATTTACATCACCTGACTGATCAGCTCAGCCGTTTTTTCTGCAGGCCTCCTGAATGCAAACTTTTCTCTTTGGATATTATGGCTGACAATAGCCGACATGATTAAGCAACGACAACCACATAATTCCTTTCATGAACTAGTTATGCAAAACGTGCAATTTGCACTTCCCTCTTTTCTAGTATTTTAAAACTTTGCTCCAACTATGCATGACATCTTGAAGGAAACAAAGGCCCCGTCCACACGAAGACGAACCCTGGCCTAAACGCACAAATTTTTCACCAAACCAGCCTCTCATCCACACGAAGCCGGCGTTTCGGGGGTCTGTAAACGATCATTTTTTTATTCAGCCTTCAGAGTGGGAAGATTTCGAAACGCCATTTACGCGTTTCCATCTTTACGCTCTAACCGCATATTTTATTTACACGCATGCGTCATAGCGTCGCCTCTAAACACGCATGCGCGACACATCACAACAACAATGGCGCCGTTGCTGCTAATGCTACTCACCCTGCTGTCGGGCTTACAACAGAATCTTCTTCTTCTGGAATATCTCCAGGAAGAACAGAGCAATATCGACGACATAGTTCAGCACCTGAATTTGACTTAACCACGAAAATGGACCCGCAGGGCAACCATGTATAAATATTAGTGCGCATGCCCAACATTTCGTCGCTTATTTTTGCTTTGGCACCACAGCGCCATTTACAGGCCTGGCATACATTTTGCAGCGTTTTCATGCATTCGTGTGGACGCTCACATTTATTTTACGTCTCCGTCTTTACGGCAAACGTTTTGGAAAATATCAGCGTTTCGTGTTCGTTTTGACTTAGTGTGGACGGGGCCAAAAAAGGGTTATGTAAAAAATTCAGATGACAAATTCACTCACTGACGGACAATGAGGGTGAAATAAAATGCATTATTCTTAAGCAAGAAGTGTTTTGAGTTGTAGTTTGCTCGTTACATTTTGACCAAACCTTTCAGATAAATTTGAGAGAAATCCTAAATCCAAACTAGGAAAAAACACAAAATTCAAGGTTTTGCAAACTAAAAAAGTTAATTAAATTGTTTAAGTCCTAAACTTAAAAGGTTTATGTTTGCTTACTTATTTTTTCTCTCACAGTTTGAAAAAAGGGCCAAAGTCCAGACCGCTGAGAGCATGTTGCTGCAGATCTGATGTTTACAGATATTTTGAATCTAGACTGACTGTTTATGAGGAACCATGAAAAACGGTCCGTTTCTAAATGTGCAAAGCTGATGGAGATATACTTCCAACGTTTATCAGCTGGAGTGCTATAAAAAAAAGTGAGTCTACAAAGGATGCACTGAATGGAGCTGGAAACATGTGCCTTCCACACTTTTCAGTATAGTTGAAGGCATCTTCCTTCCGCTTCACGTGAATGCATTGTGTTTATCTACGCCATTAAATCCCATTTAGACAGAGAAGCTCGAGACGACAAGTAAAAAGATAAATAAAAGATGGAAATATCTGATGTCATAAGATGGGCCTCCTACCTGCACACGGTGATTGTCTTTGTCGGCCACGATGATCCGTCTCTGACTGTCACAGGCAACCCCGGCCGGGCGATCGAACTGACCCGGCCTGGAGCCCAAAGAGCCGAACTTATGGTGGAAGGCACCGCACGGCTTGAATATCTATGGAGAAAAACTCTGTTTCACTGTTTGGTTTTCAACAATCGGACATTAGTGTGTTTAAACAGCTCTAGTTAACCTTTATAGTGCTAATATTCATCAGAGGTGCTAAGCTAGCTGCCTGCTGCAGATTCCATCTAAAAACCAGACAATGTTGATCTTAACATGATGTATGGCAGTTTTAACTTTACTAGGTTTAAAGATGTCAAGGTAACCCTAATATCAATAGTGGAGATAAAGCAGCAGAGTAAATGTGCTTCACGTATTGTTGCTCTTATTGTTGTTTAGTGTCTGATGAGAGAAATCCGGCTGCCCTCACCTGTATGCGGTTGTTGCTGCGGTCCGCCACCACCACGTATCCTTCCTTATCCACGCTGACGCCCCAGGGACGGCACAGCTGGCCGTCGCCCTCCCCCTCGCATCCGAAGGACGACACCTGGGATCCCAGGGACCCGTAGCTCCGTCCTGACTTCACCGTCACCTTGAAGGGGCTGCCCTGGATGTGCTGGTTGCACACCAACACCGACACCAGGTGCTCTCCCTCTATTTTGGGAAGGTAACTGACCGTGTAGGAGCCGTTCTGGTGGTCCGTCACTTCCATCGCCGACAGAGAGCCGTCCGCAGTCGACATCACCATTGCTGAGACAGGATCCCCGCCGGACAAGCGCGGCTCTCCGTCGTGATCGTACCCGATAACAGTAAAGGACGCTGGCTTCCCTCGCAGTACGTTTTTCAAACCTTCGCCGTGGGCTTTGGTTACAGGGGCAAAGGCGCCGCTGCTGATCAGCCCCATGGACTGGATGGCGATGTACAGAGCCTGCTTGAACAAATTTATAAATGAAGATCCAGGACATGGGGCTGTGTGTACAACAACTACAACTAGATTTTGCGATCCAGAGTCGGGACAAACCTGGTCTGGAGGAGTGAACATGAAGCGGTCATCCTCTTGCGGCTGCAGCAGACTCCTGAGAGTCTTGAGTTCATGGATCTGGGTGAGCATCCGCTCCCTGGCCAACAGCACGTCCAGGTGGTGGCCCTCATCCAGTATCTGGCTCACAGCGGCGATGGTACTGTCCAGTTTGGTCAGACTTTGGTGGAGCTTCTCCACCTGCAGGTACAGAGACTTGGCCTTCACCTGACGGATCTTCTCCACCTAGGGAGAGGGACAACATCAGAGAATGGAATATAATTACGGTTTCCTTTTTTTTATTATTCTTTGTCTTGATGTTATGATCAGTAAAATAAAAAGGGTATTTTGGAGCAATAAAAGTTGGAATGTCAAACTATTGTAGCTCACAATCAAAGTAGGTTTTACGAGTCTTTGCAAGTAAAATCTGAGACTTTTATGGACAATTATAACAAATTTATGAACCATAACAATTACCTTAAAACTCACATTTAGTTTTTTTTTTAAAGGTTTGATGTGTTTTGTCCTCCCTAAACTAATGGAATAAAATGTTTTGCAATACTGCAAAAGCTGCTGGTTGGGAAAATAAAACATCTTAAATCTTTGGCCTGCAAACCAGGTGGCTCCAATTTTAACTTATTATGGCAACAATTAGAAACTTCATTCACAGTTTAATATAAAAGGAAATTAAGGATATTTTAATTATGTTATATTAGAATAAGATTAAAAATGTAAACAAACCTGCAAACTTTTTCTAAATCTAAAAAAGAAACAAACTACTTTGTCTACGTTGGGAGTTTGCCAAAGTGTGGTGAGCATACAAAATGCAGAGTAGAACAACCAAACTGACAGCAGCAGCTTTGCCCTCTGGGGGGGCAGCATCAAGCAGATCATGCAACAATAAGAGAAGGGAAAAAATATCTTTTTGTAAAAAAACAAAAACAAAAGCAACTGTGTATCAATATCAAGTATTTTAAGCTTTTCTATCTATATCTAAATCTCATAGGTTTAATATTGCTAGGATATAAATGTGTGAAATGTTTGATTTAATAATTATCTGGTGAATGTGTTAAATTGGCCTCTGCATCGTTCAGTTTTTACCAGTTACATGTAAATACCGCCAACAAAAAACAGCCAATAAGACTAAAAACCATCTGGTTTTATGATGGAAACAGATCATTTTTAATATATAAACCTACTTTTTTTGCAGACTGATATTAAGATGGGTGTAAAAGGTTTATTTTTTTCTAAGTAAAGAGGTAAATTTTTAAGGTAAATGAGCCTGACATGAAGTGTTATTCATCTCATTGCTAAAGGAAGCAAAAAGCTTAATTTCTGTGTTTTTAGGGAGCCGGATCGGTTTTCAGTTAAGTCAGGGAATAAAGGCTTAAAGAGGGTGGAGGGCGGTAGAACCTGAGCCGCACGGACCAGCCTCTCTTCACATCAACTCGTGAAAAAAAAAAAAAGTCCCACACAATAGCCTGACTAGGTCTTTGTTTCTTTCAGTCCCCTCCCTCTCCAAAGAGGCCAAAAGATCTGAAACGTCAATTTGCATCTGTGAGACTAGAGTTACATTTTATAGATAGTGAGGACAAAGCCTGGAGTTGGGCTTTGTGATGGATACTCCGCTAGCTGTAGCTCCTCAGCTGAAGAGCAGACTGAGCTGGTGTGCGTTTCACAGGAACAAAACACGGAGAGAGAACCAGACGCAGCACTTGATATTCTGCCATGTTTTATAGCACCACTTCAAATTTACAACTTCCGTAGTCTGCAAAATCATGCTTGATACCGTTTTCTGTACCTATTTGAAACAAAGACTGGGGGAAAACTATAACCTTATTTAACCTTTAAAATAGGTCAGCCCTTCCACCAGTCTTGCTTAGTTTGGTTGAGAGGCTACTTCCTGTCCTCTGCCTACATCCCTTAGAAAATAAAGTGGTTCTGGATCAGAGAAATTACAGAAAATTTTAATCAGACAAATGTTCTATTGATATTGATCAGATGTTTATATAAAAGCCACCTGCTTTTTCCCCACCGCCATCAGACAGCTGAACTGTTGAGAAAACACTAAATCATGTCAGACTCTGCATCACACTGATAACAAACCAAAATACTGCATATTTGCACCATATATATTTTTGCTCTGAACTTCTATATCAATGCATTTTTTTTGCACCATGTCTCTTGTTTACATTTGATCACTGCTGCACTTTATAAAATGGAAATGTTCTGAAAGCTGTACAAAACATAATTTAGTTTTGTATACACTCTGTTTATATTTGTGCTGATGAATATTCTCAGTCATCCAGGTCATAGTCATTCCATAAAAGTTAAAAAAACAATCCACTGGACTTGGTTTCCAAGGTTTGAAGATGTTTCGCTTCCCCTCCAGGAAGCTTTCTCAATTCAAAATCTCTGTTTATACAACATGACAATAAAAGTTGCCTAAGTCTAAGGGTATCTTGGTTAACCCTAAAACACAGAAGACTTGATTTCCCCAGATTAAAGAATACCTGACATGCCTAGTTTAGTTTAAACAACTTTAATGAAAAGAATCCGGAAAGTTGCACTAAATTATCTATTAAAACGTTCACCCTTACCCTGAAAAATGACTCTTTACACGGCCTGTTTAAGTCAAAACTGTTGCATCTTTGTAATAACAGGCCGTTATGTGGTTATGAGGCTGAGCTGGGAAACGATTGTGTTTCCTGTTAGATCCAGCAGGAGCAGTAGTGGTCAGAGTTAAAATAACAACTGTGTGAAATGCAGAGGAAAAACTGCTGTCAGGGGTACATTAGACTTTAAGGGTTTCCGTCGTACCACAGCAGGACAGCGGCAGGTTTGGCCTTAACATATAAATAGCAGGTTGGTAATATGGAGAGGCTACGAGTGCTACGATAACACAAGCTAACACGTCTTCGATCAGCCATGTTGTGCTTGTAGGAAAAAAGATGTGAAGGTGTGACCCATGCAGAATGCATGCAGGTGGTCACTAACAGACAAAGGGACACATTCCACTCCAGACTAAAGGACAACTAAACAATCCACAAAACTTTACATTGGAAATGTGTCGACACTCATCTGTAATAACATAATAATTAATAATAATTTAACTTTATTGATCATACATTGGAGGAATTTACCTCTGCATTGTAACCCATCCCCTTGGGGAGCAGTGGATTTTGTGAACATGTTAAGTTTGTCAAGTTATTTTTTTCAAAACAGGCCAAACCCAGACAGCTGGTCACCTCAATTGCTAGAAATCTACAAATAGGGTAAAAAGTTATATAAAAAAACAAAACCTATACAAATGACTGCACATTTAAAATGTAATAGGCTCTATTCACAACTTTACTACTTCCTGAACTTGAGGTAGATCTTTTGTTTCCTGTCTTTTCTACTGAATAAACTGATTAATCCAGGTGTGCCTGACCACAATAACACAGACAGACACACCTGGATTCTTCCTATGTCTCAATGTTAAGGGGTGCAGTAATGCTGCAACAGATTTTATAAGGGTAGAAAAGGAAAAAGAGTAGCTTAAAACAAGCAAGGAGAGAGAAAACACCAAAAGTTCAATAGTTAGGATAATTATTATTAAAGGTGTGTGAGTTTATCACACCCTGGCTGCCTGTTGCGCATCAGAACTGAAGTTTTAATCTAATTAGGACATTTCCTCTGTCTGGATATACAGTTATAATCTTCATTTTGTACGTGGCAAAGATTTGGAAATGGAATAAGAGTGTTGTCCAATTTTATAAGGCTGGAGCCATGGATGTCTAATCATCTGCTAACGTGTGCGATGTAAAATAAGATGATGTGGCAGACTGGAGATATAAAGGTATAAAATGCCTTTTTAACTGAAATGTTATTTAAAGAGTTTGTCCCGAGTGATCTCTTTTCAGGAAAAATAACCAGAGAGAAAGAGCATCAGGGTGCATATTCAGAGCCTATCTTTAACAAATGGTGTTTCCGCCTATCTTTAACACACACAATCCACAATAAATGCTACAGCCTCTGAAGCAAAGCTAAAATTCGGTGTGTGGGGGCGAGTGTTTTCAGACAATAGACAATCCTAAATTGACCCACATTCACGAACTATGCCAGTTTGTAGTTGGTTGTGCAGATCTGGGTTCCTGCAATGAGCCGTAGCAGTGATGGCCTCAAACTGCCCCACTTAGGTTTAAAACGTCTGGTTCACTGCTGCGTCGTCTAGCAGGACCGACTGCTGGTCAAAATGTTTGTTGTGAGGACAGAAACCCCCATTCGACAAAGAAGTTTGTTGGAGACGACAAAAGCTCTGTGTTGGAAAAAACCATCAGACCGAGGAGTTGCTGGAACAAACCCAAACAGAACAAAAAGACCAAGATGTTTGTAGGACCTACTTAAGTTCCATGTGGACCAGGCCTTCATCAGCAGCAGCAGCTCTCACACAGAACACTGTTGGTTTTAAGGACTGGTAGCTGTTAGCATGGTCAGTTTAGTTCTGGGAAACAGATCTGGGATTTGTTTTTTTAACTGGTGCTTTTTCTCTTTTAGATTAAAATATTTTAATTGAAAGCAAGAGCTTATTTCTAGATCACCCCCCTCCTCATAAAAACACAACAAATAACTGAATTTAACTGAATTGTGTTTGCCCTTCAGGCAAATCAAATGTAAACAGTAGCACCATTCAACCCACTAAGAACATCTCTGATGTTCAGTAGATCTGCTGACGTCCTGCTTGCTGCTCAGCTGAAAGAGTCATGCGTTGTTCTTTAACAACCATTGAAATATTAAATTAAACTACCTACTGCTTTCTACTAAAAGAAAGGAGAGAAAAAACAAACAGCGATTTGTATGCGTTTGCATGTATACAATAAAAAAAAAACCCTGAAAAAATCTGAACTGGACTCATCCCCTGCAATTTGATTTGATCCAAACTGGATGTTTATAACTTTAAGGGGCCAGAAAGCCATTCCAAGGAGCAAAACAGAGAACATATGGCTTATTCCTGAGATGAGGCAAAAGGCTGTGAACTGTTTCAATAGGATCCCTCCTGCAGTGTGGAAGAAGCCCTCAACAGAACAGACCTCCCCCTCTCCGTCTCCATCATGATCACATTTGATTAGCTCCAGCCCCTCCTGAAACGACCCATATGGTCATCCTTAACAATGAAATTTCACACAAAGCTGATTCACTTAACCACCCCCACACAGGAAGATATTTATACATTTAACGAGATCGTTTCCTGTCTTGGCCACCAATGCACATGCTCCTCCCCCCATTAGGAAAGATATTCAGGAGAGAAAACTACAAATCCTACAGATTTCAGGTTGGATGTCCTGATGAATGAGGACAGAGAGGAGTTGCAGCAACCCTCACTCAGGAGGTGATATAAAGGAGATGATCGGATAAAGACACCTTTAGCATCAGGTGATTTATACAACTTCATATTTAAAGGGAGGATCATCACAGCTTTTAATGATTCAGGAAATTTTATATGAGACAGCTTCACACTTTAAGACTTAACGTTTCTGCGCCCTTTTAAAAGATGACAGAAAAAGGTTTACTCTAGAAGGGAAACTAATATTTATACAGTTATTATTAAACCAAAAAAAACACAGTCTGTAGGAAGGCAGACAAATGGATTAGCGTAAAGCTGCACGTAGGGACGAACACTCGGATGGCCCAACAGTTGGACATTAAAACACAAGGAGACCAGATATATTGTGAGAAAGAGATTATTTTTCTACAGTCAGAATGAAAATTATCATCTTACTTGCAGTCCTAGAAAAACAATAATAAAAAAATCAGTGGTTTCCTAAGGAGTATCTTATAGGTGGTATACTTATTGGTAGTTTTTACCGTCCTGAAGCTGAAGGTTTCTCTTTTCCATATCAAGCATGACTGCTTTGTCCATAAAAAGTAAAATAATACAAGTTAAAGCAGGATTAAACTGGTTTAGGCTTTACTCTCTGATCTAAATGCACGGGTAATGTCTTTTTTTTTTTTTTTGACATCGGCTCACCTTCCACAGAAGCTCACACTCTCTCTCTTCCAGCGCTTTCTTGTGCCTCAGGACGAGAGCCTTCACTTCAGTCTGCACCACCTTGGCCTTGATCTCCACCTGCTCTGCCATGGCTTGCACTTTTTCCATACTTAGCTGAGAAAAAACAAAAAAAAGATAAATAAAAACGGTTAAACAATCCATTGATGTAATAAGAGGGAGTAATATAAGGTAGAAACATAAAACATAGGGAAAACAAAGGAAAATCAATAATAGGAAATGGAAATTGAGACACTGGACAGAACAGGAAATGCTTATCGGTTTATCTATTATATTTCACAGAATGGATGGACGACCTTCCAAAAAGCAGGAAGCGGAAGATCAGGAAACATTAATAGAAACAAAAAAAACATCTTCCTGTCAAACCAATGCATGAACACCTGCTCATTGTTCTCATTTCAGCCCAGAGAAAAAGGAAACATGGGGCAGGAATAGGAATTCCCATCACTGACACAAAAACCATGAACATTTTTCTGTATTTGGAGACTTTCCAGAAGAAAACATGGTTGGAAACCCAAATATTAGAGGCAGTGTTGTTCCTTCTATACTATTATAAAACCACCGACGTGAACACTGAACAGACATTAAAACCAAGTCTAGAGATATTAAAATATCAGCTTCTAAAGTAACAGACACAGGTGGGGATTTAAAATTTCAAATAGGCTTTAAATAAAGAAAGTCATACCTCTAGTTAGCCGTTAGCTTTATCTCTGGGACCAACTAATCTGGATTTACAGTAATTGAGGACAACAGGTGGGTTTAAGGTATAAAAAAAAAACAAAAAAAAAAAAAAACACAGAAACCATCTAAAAATAAACGGTTAATTTTCCTAAAATCTGACTTTTTTGGTTGCTTCTCATTTTTGAGATTCTTTTTTAAGGATTTGGACTGAAAAGTTTAGAAAAAACTACTTAAGAAAATGCATCATCCCGAAAAGCAACTATGTCGCCTGCAACAGCAGACCTTTACCTGCGCATTAAGGAATATTTTTGCAAGACTTTTAATGCTTGATGATAATGTGATAGCAGACAGCAAAGTATGCGCTGTAAATAAGTCTTTTTATACTTCGTCTAAAAAACAGATTGGGCGTCCAAATTTAAAATGAACTTTGGAAGAAATTTGTAGTTGAACTGTAAAGGTAAACCAACATTTTATATAAAAGATTTTCAGTAGGTTGATTCAAAGACATCATTTTATAGGGGTGTCCTGATCCAATATTGATAACAGGAACTAGAAACGATTAAGTTTCTGTAGCTTATTGGTTAACAATAAATCAGAGCTGTTGTTTGCAATTGTCCTCTGTTTGAGTATTATTATTATAATTATTATTATTATATCTGTATTGGTCAATATTGGTCTATATCTGTGATTGGATGCCCTCTGGATTGCAGGAGTTGAGAAACAAAGGATCCTAACTAAATGAACACCTCTGTTGGATAATGTTTCCCACTCCATGCATGAAGCTGTTGCAGAACTGGAGAGCTCCTTCAGTAACAGACTGCTGCACCCTAAATGCACCAGGGAGCGTTATCACAGATCCTTCCTCCCAGCAGCTGGAAGACTTTATAACCACCACTGTTCCCAACAACCTCATAAGTTGTTACATTCATGCTGATTTTCACAGTTTGTATCTTAATGAGAACCTTAAACCTGATTTATGCTCAGAAACCAAGTTGTCTTTGCGTGTGTCTCAATTAACGCAGATATGCCCCTCCCTTCCGAAATTGTAGGTGACCGCAGACAGCATCGCAGGGAGGAGAGAAAGGAGGCCTCTGATTGGTCAATTCTACATCCGCTCTGCACTATGCGTATTTCCTGTTTGCTACCTTACCGGCTTGCTTTTTTTGTATGACAGTCATTGTGGAAAACGACTCATGAAGATGGACCCGCTAGAAGATCGAATCTGTGAAGTCTTCTATCTCTAGATTGATCAGCTGCATCTCAGTCAAAGTGCGGACTAGTTGAGTCGCCATTGTTGTTGAATGACCTCCATAACCAGAAGAACCAACAAACCACACCCACAATCCTAGCTAGTTTGTAATTTTCCCTCTTGTGTTGTGGCGCAGACCATGCTTCAAAATTGGGCTTAAATCAAAAATATCTCCTGTGGGATTATAACCAGCCCTTAAGTTAGTTAAATAACATGCTGCTGTCATTTTGCACATCCCTGATGTTGCTGCTTTTTTCAAATATAATTTACCTTAAAAATGTCCATAGCTGTATATTGGTTATTTATTCTTCATATTTGAATGTGTTTAGAGTTAAATGAATGCAAGATGCTTGGTTTAATTTTCAGGCAAATATCAAATGTTTAAACTCTGAAGATGGCATCACTTTTATTGCTGCCTGATGTAATAAAAAGGGGCTCAAGTATTTACAACGCACAATTTGGCCTAAATGAGGAGTATTCTCTTTGTCTCCTTCTGCCCACTGAGTTTTATCAGGCTTTCTCCTCGGGCATCTTCTGGGAGGTCAGGGGGGTGAACTGGACCTCACAGGCTCCGAGGGGAGGTGGGATAAGGCTTCCTTTGTCGTATCTGCCACTAAGATCAAAGGTCACCTAAACCTCTACGGGTCGTGATCCTCAATCCCCGTCTTAAGACGCACAGGGTCCTCCCCGTCACACCTCGGCAGGAACAAAGACCGGCAGCGGGCTCTTTTCTTTCTCTGGACCTGTCGTGAGGTGGCCGGCTAAAGGAACAGCTAAATCAGGCCCCCGGAGAGGCAAAGGCAGGAAGGGAGGGAATTAAGGGGAACTAATATCGTTTAAGACGGAGTCATGAGGAAATTTCAACCTTTCTAGACCTTAATGCTTTTTTTTTTTTATTTACGTCTTTCTACTAATTATCTTTCTAGAGTCATTTTTTCCACATTTTATAACATTAAATTCACCCTGTGTGCTTCTTAGGATTTAATAAGAAGTATAGAGTAGAGCATAAAAGTGGAATGATTTAGAAGGAAGATAATAAATGTTTTAGAAGATTTTACAAATAAATATGTAAATGTAATAAATCTTTGAAGTCGGTTTAAACTGGAAAGATTTCTGCTGCATATCAGGCAGGCTTTCCATCTTTTACCATTTCTTTTTTTTTTAGGTCTAATTTTTTCACTCTGGCATTTAACACTCAAAAGTTTGTTTTGGTTGATTTTTCTGTGCTTTCCCTTTCGTTTTCTATTATTTAAATTTTTTGTATATATTGTTTTAAGTCATTTTTAGTCTGTTTAATGGTATTTATATCTTATATATATAAACTTTTTTTTCAAGTGTCTTATATATATATATATATATATATATATATATATATATATATATATATATATATATATATATATATATATATATATATATATATATATATATACACAGTTGAATTGGAAATATCTAAAAAGTGAGGCATGCATCAGTATCAATGCTCCTCTAATATGAGGATGCTTATTAAAATCCTGGTTCTTCTCTCTCTTTCTGTGTTTTACACCCCAGCCTCTGTTTCGACGAGTCCTTTTCTCTCTCCCTTTCATCCGGGACTCCTTCCCAGTCTTTGTGTCTCCATCATCTTCCCCAATTCTCTCCACATTCCCAAAGGAGCACAGCTTGGCGTACAAAGACAGCCGAACTAACCAATAAAAATGAAAAAGCAGCCGAAGCAGAGAGTTTTGACCAACCAGGAGGTCACAAGCCCCAGGGGTCAAGGGTCAGGGGAGATAATGGGTGTGGAGTGGACGGAAATTTCCTACCTCAGGGGACAGGAGCGTATGCCTGCATCTGTTTGTTTGCATATTATCTGGTGTCAGCATTTAGTCCCAGGGCGACGTGGACAAAAGTGGACAAACACGCCCTGCAGCTCAAGGTGCTGCTGGACGCTTGGCTGAGACTCTTATAAACCGAATGCATCCTGTAGCTTTTACTTCAGTTCAACAGAACCAAACCTCATTGATTAGATTTCTCCCCTAATGAAACCAGATGTTTTCTGAAACATCTGTGCTGTGATATCTGGGCATTTCTGAAGAATCCAGCAACACCCACAGTGACATAAGCACAAAGACACAGAGCTCGACCCGGCCATGCAAGAGGTCAGGCCAAGAAAATGGATAGGTGGGTCACATGCTCGGTGCGCAGGAGATAATACATGTCCGAACGTCATATGACCTCAGTGGAAAAGCTTGTGTTTCATGTTTTGGGGCGGGTATTTACCAAGGTCACAACGCTGCCCCACCTTCAAGGCAAATGAGATAACAGCCGTTTCTGACCCATCCCTGATAACTCTGCACAGCAGGTTTTAAAGCCATTTTCCAAACACTTCTTCATTTTTGTTTGACATTAATTCTAGAGGATACCAGAAACTGTTCATTTAAATCCTGACAGAGACAAAGATCACAATACAACCAACTTTTTGATAAGATTACTTACCCAAATACATGATGAGAAAAAAACTACAGTATTAAAAATGAATAATAACGATGCACTGAGAAATTGTCATGTGGCCAAAGCCGGATTATTTCCTGCTACACCGGCGACCAGAAAGAAAATAAAAAATCATAGAAAAGTTAAAAAAAAATAAGTCAAAGACAGTAGAAACTGTGTATAAGCCACACCTAGGCCAAAGGCAAGGAGAAATCTGATTCTGGAATGGCAGTCTGTGGGGTTTAAAGTGATAGTTCGGGATTTTTGACATGAATCTGTATGGCATCCCCATCACCAGTGTCATGCAATCACACTGACTTACCCCTGGCAGCATCCTGTGAGCAGAGTTCTCGTCCAGCTTTGGTCAAGCCGAAAGTAGTCCGGCAGGTTTGCTAGACCCAGCGAAATAAAACGTTTCTCTTCCCAAAACATTATGTGTTCAAAAGAGTGATATTTTTGCACCCCAAAAACATTGTAGTGGAAAAAGTCACACGTCGTTATCACTTGGTCCTATTTTCTCTCTGTTCGTATCAGTGCGCGCGACACCATGACCTGACAGCTAGGGCCTACTAACCTGACAACAGCCAGATGCATGTCTCGCTCAGCCTAGCTCCTAGCTGGGCGGAGCGAGGCATGCATCTGGCTGTTGTCAGGTTAAGGGCCTACCTGTTTGATTCGCGATTGTTTACTACTG